GAATGAATAAGAAAACATAACCCATATATATGCTGTCTACAAGAGACCAACCTTAGAACAAAGGACTCACACAGAGTGAAAATGAAGAAATGGAAAAAAAAGTTTTCAGGCAAATGGAAATGAGAAAAAAAAAAAAAGCTTGCGTGGCAGTACTGATATCTGACAAAACAGACTTCAAAGTGAAGGCTATACCAAGAGATAAGGAAGGCCACTACATTATACTAAAGGGATCGATACAAGAAGAGGCTATAACTCGGGTAAACATGTATGCACCCAATATAGGAGCATCCAAATACATAAAAAGACTTCGGGAGGTTATCAAGGGAGAGAATGACAGTAGTACAATCACAGTAGGAGACATTAATGCTCCACCTACATTAATAGATAAATCTTCTAGACAAAAAATCAACAAGGTAACAGTAAATCCTAAATGACTCACTAAATCAGATGGAACTAATTGACATCCTCACAACATTCCATCTCAAAGCTAGGAAATATATATTCTTCACAAGTGCTAATGGGACATTTTCAAATATAGACAACCTGTTAGGACACAAGCTAAGTGTCTACAAATTCAAGACAATTGAAATAATTTCAAGTATCTTCTCAAACTACCATGGCATGAAATTAGAAATCAGCTACAATAAACACTCAAAAACAATCAAACACATGGAGGCTAAATAGCATGCTATTAAATAATGAATGGGTTAACAAAAAGGTCAAAGAAGAAAGAAAAAACATCCTGGAAACAAATAACAATGAAAACACAACAATCCAAAATCTATGGGACACAGTGAAAGCAGTTTTGTTCCTAGCACTATAGGCCTAACTCAAAAAAAACCAGAAAAACTAGAGTAAGTTATCTAACACTACAACCTAAAGAATTATGAAGAGAACTATAAGAAAAGCCCAGAGTAAGTAGAAGGAAGGAAATAATAAAGATTAGAGCAGAAATAAATGACATAGAGACCAAAAATATAATAGAAAAGATCAATGAAACCAAGAGCTGGTTCTTGGAAAGAATAAACAAGATTGATGAACCACTAGCCAGACTCTCCAGGAAACAAAGAGAGAGGACACCCAAAAAAATCAGAGTCCTGGCCAGTTTGGCTTGGTGGATAGAGTTTCAGCCTGCAGACTGAGGAGTCACGGGTTCGATTCCAGCCAAGGACATATGCCCAAGTTGCAGGCTCGATCCCCAGTAGGGGGCGTACAAGAGGCAACCCATCAATGGTTCTCTCCCATTGATGTTTCTATCTCTCTCTCCCTCTCTGGTCCTCTCTGACCCCACAGAAATACAAAGGATCGCAAAAAAATAATATGAACAACTTTATTCTAACAAATGGGACACCTCGACCAAATGGACATATTCCTAAGTAAATCAGGAAGAATCAGAAAACTTGAATAGGCCGATAACTACTGATGAAATTCAAGCAGTAATAATAAAAAAAAAAAAAAACAACAACTCCCAGCAATCAAAAGCCTTGATCCGGATGGTTTCACAGGGTAGTTTTATCAAATATTCAAAGAAGAACTAACACCTATCCTCCTCAAACTATTCCAAAAAATCCAAGAGGAACGAATACTTCCAAGTTCTTTCTATGAGGCTAGAATTACCCTAATTCCAAAAACAGATAAGGACACTACAAAGAAAGAGAGCTATATGCCAACATCCCTGATGAACATAGATCCTAAAATCCTCAAAATTTTAGCAAACCGGAGCCAGTAATACAGTAAAATGATCATACATGATCAATTGGGATTTATTCCGGGGATGCAAGAATAGTACAATATTTGCAAATCAATAAATGTGACACAGCATATAAACAGATTGCAAGACAAAAATCAAATGATCATTTCAATTGATGCAGAAAAAGCATTAGCCAAAAATCCAACACCCTTTTTTTTAAATAAAAACTCACAGAAAGTGGGAAGCAAGGGAGCATATCTCAACATAATAAAAGATATATATGATAAACTGACAGCCAACATCATACTCAATGGGCAAAAACTAAAACCATTTCCCAGATGAACATGAACAAGACACAGATGCCCTCTTTCACCACTCTTGTTCAACATAGTATTGGAAGACCTAGCCATAGCGATCAGACAAGAAAAAAAATACATAAAAGGCATCCAAATTGGAAACGAGGAAGTAAAACTCTCATTATTTGTAGATAACATCGTACCGTAAATACAGAACTCTAAAGTCTCCATCAAAAAACTACTAGATGCCGAAACCAGTTTGGCTCAGTGGATAGAGCATCGGCTTGCAGACTGAAAGGTCCCAGATTCAATTCCGGTCAAGGGCATGTACCTGGGTTGCGGGCACATCCCCAGTAGGAGATGTGCAGGAGGCAGCTGATCGATGTTTCTCTCTCATCGATGTTTCTAACTCTCTATCTCTCTCCCTTCCTCTCTGTAAAAAATCAATAAAATATATAAAAAAAAACACTACTAGATTTAATAAATAAATCTGACAATGTAGCAGGATACAAAATCAATACCCCAAAATTGATGGCCTTCTTATATACCAATAAATTTTGAGAAAGAAAGTAAACAAATAATCCCATTACAATTTAACAAAAAAAAAATAAGATACTTAGGAATAAATTTAACCAAAGAGGCAAAAGACCTGTACTCGGAAAACTACAGGATGTTAAAAAAAGAGATAGAAGAAGATATAAACAAGTGGAAGAATATATACCATGTTCAAGGATTGGTAGAATTAACATATTACAATGTCCATACTACCTAAGGTAATCTACAGATTCAATTGCAATCCCTATTAAAATACCAACAGCATACTTTACAGATCTAGAACAAATACTCCAAAAATTTATATGAAATAAAAAAAGAGTCCCAATAGCTGCAGCAATCTTGAGAAAGAACAACAAAGTTGGAGAGATCACAACACCAGATATCAAACTATATTACAAAGCCATTGTTCTCAAAACTGCCTGATACTGGCACAAGAACAGACATATAAACCAATGGAACAAAACAGAGAACCCAGAAATCGACCCAAACCACTATACTCAATTAATATTTGATAAAGGAGGCAAGAGCATACATTGGAGCAGCGACAGTCTCTTCAATAAATGGTGTTGGGAAAATTGGACACCAATTTTAATAATCTGATTATTATTTAACAGGAAAGGAATAGAGGGAAAACTAGCTAATATTCACATGCTATTTATATAGCTTTGGTAAGTTAACACTCACCAAGTCCATTCCCTGATTGATGGGGCAAGGGACTGGACAAAGGCAGTTTGGTCGCATGCTTAGTAAGGTCTGAGTGACTTGGGAAGGTGCTTACATGTCATTCACACCTGGAAGCAAATAGATGTGGCCACTTCAAGAGCAGGAAACATGAATATTTAAACTTCTGAACAAAGGAGTGCACTTTCTTGGCTTTTGCTCTCTGGGCTCTTGCTTCTCCTGGTACCTGCGCTCCTGTGACTCCTGCTACAAGGGGGCATTTCACATGGCTTATAGCCACGTGGGACCCACACAATGGGCTGATGGACTATAACTAGCCTAATGCTGAACTAAGCTTAGCTGCAACATGAAACAGTCTGGACCCTGGCTTTGCTTTTGGCTTTACTGGAATCCTAGCTACTCCTCTTTTAGGACTGGGTTAACAGACATGGGACTTGACAACCGTAAGAATATAACTCTACACAAATAAAGCCTTTTACTATATCTCACTCTCCCGTGGGAGCTTCTGAAAATTCTTATTTCAGTGATACCCCAAGAACCCAACTCCCACTCCTGTTTGGGAAATCTGGCCCAATAATTTCTTTTGGTAACACTTAAAAACCAGAAAAAGTGCCCTAAAATGGTGGTTTGGTATCATTTTTAGGAATATTATTTCTTTTGATGTATTTAAGAACTGTTATAACAGATAAGACACTAACCTAACAGACACTGGGACAGTTAGATATTTTAAAAAACTGAAAACAATAAATAAAAGCAAATATGGTATTGTTAGCATAGACTAGCTAGATATTAATAAAAGAAAGGAGGAAAATTGGCTAAGTTTAATTAGGTCAGAAGCCACAGCTCCATGCACACTAGGTGACAGCAGCATTGCCCTGCCAAGGGGATTATCATTCCATCCCGTTTAGGGAAGAAAAATTGGCTTTCCAATCTCCCCAGGGTACAACCAGCAGAGTACCAGGACTTCTCTGGTGGGCACTTGCCCAGCAGAAGCCAAGAGGGCCCAGGGGGAGGTCCTTCTACTATGAGGCATGAGCAGTAGGACCTAAAATGGTGATGATTAGGGGGAGGAATCTAACCTAGGAAAAACGACCATTCTCCGATAGGCACATAAGGGACCCCGCAAGACTTACAACCAGGGGAGCAACGGGCAGGGGCTAACCCACTGACTGGTCTCCAAGGCCCCCTTTTCTCTGTGTAGCCCTTCCCTTTGGATATCTCCATCTCCCATTCCCTTTCCTTAAATAAATTAAATTTTCTTTGATCACCATCTGAGATGGCTATTTAGCCAGCCCATGCACCACCCACTTTAACCTTTCAAATAGCAGTACATAAAGATTAGAAGGGGGGGGGGGGGGAAAGCAACATAACTAAGTTAATGTAGATCAGAAACCTTTCTGAATAATTAAGAAAAACTATTACCTGCCAACAAAAAGATGCATCTCAAAAGCAGGCACACTGTACTGGCATTGGGTTATCATACATTTGTGAATATTTTCAATTACATGTTTTAGAGAATTTTTACTTTTACCCATTGTTGTAACTTACCAGTTTCAATCATAATATAAATGATACTTTGATTTATCTTAACACTTTCAAGATCATTATTACTTTTCTTAATTTAAAATAATTCCTCCAAATAAATGTTTTAAATGGCTCCAGCTTACTTTTAATAAAGATGAATAACAACATCTTCAATTATATGACTCTGAAAAAACTGCTGAGTGATCAGATTAAGTAAAATACAAATTATTTATAAACAAGCACAATAGAACTACCTGCTGGGAGTCACTTGATTTGAAAGCATCCTTAAGAATTTCAACTGCTCTTGAGGGATCAACATATTTCCTTTTAGTACCAACAAGAAGTGCAAATAGATATCTCAATTCACACATAAAAGGCAAATTCCGATGCTCCTAATGGGATCAAAGAAAAAAAGGCTTTTAAATGAAGATTAACAAAATCTTTATTGGTAAACAGATATTCATTAAAAACTAAGCAAAAATTTAAGTAATATAGATTAGGAACGAGTCCAGCACTCCTGTATCATAATTAAAGAAGAGTGATGTCATTTAGGAGACTCAAGAAGGAATCAAGCACAAAAACAGCAAAGTATCTAGGCTAAGCTCACAATTTCAGCATAAATGCCACATATTCATAGCAAATCATGTCATTACCCAGCAAGAATATCCTCCTCATTCAAGTCTGTTTATTATAATCCTTTTCCATTCAGCAAGGCCCAGATGCTGCTGAGGACAGCAATAACAATCATTACCATACAATGGGTGTTAGCTACATACCAGGCCCTGTGTAGGTATTTTACCTTGATAAACCTATTTAATCAAAAATCCCTCTACCTCCATGAAGCCTTCCCAGACCCTCCAAGTCAATGATCCCTTCAAACTCCATAGCTACTAAAATGAATGTCTTTCATTCAACAAATTACCAACTGCCACTGTCATGTGATGATCCTAATATTAGTCTAACAATTCATCTAGATCATAATATTAGACTAATGTATCATCCACCTAGTGCTCCTCTGAAATCTTACTCAACTTTTCTCAATAAGACTGTAAACTTAATAAGAAGGAAACTTTTAAAAGAATGTAATTCACATATTTTAGTGAAATACTTTATGGCAACAAAAGTAGTTCTTATACAGTTAGCTCCTGCAGTAACAAATTTCCAAATGACTTATAATGTTGAGCATATTTTCATGTGCATATCTGCATTTCTTATTTGGTGAAGTATATGTTCACATATTTTTCCAATACAGTAATAGGCTACTTGTCTTATTATTGACTTGTACAAGTTCTGTGTATAACCTAAATAAAATTCCTTTATGTGATACATGTTTTGCTAATATTTTCTTCCAGTTTGTGGCATGCCTTTTCTTTTTGTATACATTTTTCAAAGATTACAAGTTTTTAATCTTAATGAAGTCTAATTTATCAATTTTAACAGATAAAAACTTATTATGCTATTTAAATATTAGAAAAGTTTTCCAATTTTGCAGAGCTGGAGTTCTCAGCATTATAAAACTGTAGGGGTGTGTGTGTGTATGTGTATAATTGCTTTCACACTAATATAAACAATATAGAAACAGCTGCTCCCAGAATGCATTAAAAAAGGAATTCTAAGAAATATAGGTGTAAGGGAATAAAACTGATTCCAAATATTTGATCCAAAACTATAGAGTAATCACAAAGAGCATTGTCTGACATAAAAATGCTAAGTTATGGGAAACATGCATTTTATTTAAGGATAATAAATTTTTTATCTATGATAAACATTAAATGCAAAAATTTTAAATCAGATATAAAACTGACCCATGATTTTTCTGTGGTACTTCCTATTCCCCTACAATTGTCCTATATAAATAAGTTTTAAAAGTGTAAATACTACAAATTTTAATCCACAAAATAATTTCCATATATATCCTCAATTTCCTGAGATCAATTTCTTCATTTATCACTATATCTAAAGTCAGTGCAGTGTTTTGAGACACTCCTTGCGAAGACACAGATAAAATAACTGACTTTTGAAAATTAAGTGGAATTCTGCTAAAAAAGCATATTAAGAAAATACTTTAATGTAATGATATATTTTTTTCTTAGACAATTCCTATGACTTTTTAAATTTCAAGTGGCAAAACCATAAATTATGTTAAAAGCAGCTACTGTATTTGGCTAAATTATGAAAATACCACATGTAAAAACTATTCAAATATTGGTCTTTTTTCAAACACATTTATCAAGGTATAACTGGTATAAACTGTGCTGTATAGTATAAAGTGTACAATTTTTTGAGCTTCAGTAATATATATTCACGAAAGCATCACCACAATCAAGATAACGTACCTATCCATCATGCCCCAAAGGTTCTTCATCCCTCATTCCTCTTCCTAATCATCCCAGGCAAACATGGTCCCTTTTCTAGAAATTTATATAAATCAAATCATACACTATGTACTTGTTTTAGTCTGGTTTCTTATAATAGGCATAATTATTTTGAGGTTCATTCATGACTGTGCATATTAATAATAATTCATTCCATTTTATTGCTCAGTGGTCTTCCATTGTGTAGATATACCACATTTATTTATCCATTAACCTGTTCTAGATTCTGTGGATATTACTGCACATATCTTTGTGTGAACATATGCTTTCATTTCTTTTGAGTAAAAACCCAGAGGGAAGAGCTAGATTGTGTAGGTGTTTTTAAGAAAAAACCAAACTGTTTTCCAAAGGCATCGCACTATTTTATATTCCCACTGGCAGTGTAATGACAGCTCTAGGTCCACATTCTACAACACTTACATATGTGTTATATTTTTAACTTTAGTTCTTCTTGTGGGTATACAGCACCTTTAGTTTCATTTTGCATTTTCCAAATGTTGAGCATTTTTTCATGTGCATATATTTACATATATTATTTGATGAAGTATATATTCAAATATTTTTCCCAATACAATAGGTTACTTTTATTATTGACTTGTACAAGTTCTGAAGACATTCTAGATACAATTCCTTTTTGTGATACATGTTTTGCTAATATTTTCTTCCAGTCTGTAGCTTCCCTTTTCCTTTTTATATAATTTTCAAAGATTACAAGTTTTTAATTTTAATAGTCTAATTTATCAATTTTTTCTTTTATGATTTGTACCTTTTTGTTATCTTACTTAAGACATCTTTTAAACTCAAGACACTAAATTTTTCTTATGTTTTCTTCAATAACTTTTATATATAGTTCTTGCTTTTAGTTCTATAATCCATTATATTTTTTTCATACACATGTTCCCCACACTATCTAAAGTAGAGTGTTTCTATGAAGCTTTTCCTAAGCCAAAACGTGTAGTGAACAGTATCCTCTGCTTCCTGAAAGTTCAACTTATGCCACTTCAGTTTTACGAAAGACGTACATTATTGTTGGAACAACTTTTTTTCATAAAAGCAAAAATTCCTCTATGGATTTCTAAAGCAGGATACCTGTATAATTTAGTATTCTGTAAGAACTGAGGATTATTCTTCTGCCTATGACACTGTAAGTTTAAGATTTTCCTTTGCCCACTGAATTGTTTTGGCAACACTGACTAAAATCAATTCACCTGAGATATGTAGGTCTATTTCTTGACTCCATTAGCTTCATATAGACCAGTGTTTTTGCCAATCGCAGAGTTTCTTGATCATTGTAGCCTGATAATTACTCCTCCAACACTATCTTTTTAAAATTGTTATAGCCATTCTACATATTTTGATTTTCCATATAAATTTTAGAATCAGTTTGTCAATCCTATGAAAAAAACCTCTTGGGATTATGATGGGGATTGCAGTGAATACACAGATTAAATCAAGAACAAGTGACACTTTAATAATATTGAACGCCCTGATCCATGAACATGATATATATCTTTTTATTTCTCTAATTTCTCTCAGTAATATTCTATAGTTTTTCATATATATCTTTGGTTCATTTTACCCCTAAAAGTACATATTTTCTGCTATTGTATGTAAGTATTTCAAAATTTAAACTCCCAATTGTGTATGGCAAGTATTTAGAAATATAATTGATTTTCGTATGTTTGCTTTGTATCATGTAACCTTGATCATCATTTCTTGTTTCTAAGCATTTTTTTTTTTGTAGAATACTTGAGATTCTCTACAGAGACAAGTCATAAACATGCAAAAAACAGCTTTATTTTCCAATCTACATGCTTATTTCTTTTTCTTGCTTTACAGCACTACCTAAAAACTCTAGTCTAATGTTTAATATAAGTGGTTAGGGTTGACATCCTTGCTTTGCTCTCATCTTTGGGGAAAAGCATTTGGTCTTCTGCCATTAAGTCTTATATTAGTTTAATATTTTTCATAAATTAGCTTTATCAGGATAAGAAAGTTTCTTTTTATCCCTAGTTTTGAGAGATTTTGCAATAAATAAATGTTAGCTTTCTGCCAAACCCTTTTTCTTCATTTACTAAGACAATCATATGGTTTTCTTCCATAGTCTCTGTTAATGTGGTGAATTATACTGATTTTTGAACATATAACCAATCTTGTAGTCCTGGGTAAACCCCACCTGTCAATAAGGTATTATCCTTTATACATACCACAGAATTCAATTTGCCAAAATCTGCTACAACTTTTATTTCTACATTCATGAGAAATACTGGTCTGTAGTTTTCTTTTGTTTTCTTTTTGTACTTTTGGTTTCAGGAAAATCCTACGCTCATAGTGAGTTGGGAAGTTTTATCTCTTCTTCAATTTTCTGGAAAAGTATTTAGAGAACTGGTATTATTTCTTTCTTAAATAATTAGTATAACTCACCAGTGAACGATTTTGTTGTTAAATTTTTGGTGGCTGTTCAACTATTATTTTTAAATATTCTTTTTTTAATGTAATATATGGATACTCAGATTATCTATCTTTTTATCAGTGAGCTTCAATAGCTTGTGTGTTTTAGGATATTTATCTGTTTATAATATACCACTATTCTCTTTAATTATCTATAGAATATGTACTGATATGCCCCTTTTATTCTTTATATTGATGATTTGTTTCTTCCTTCTTTTCTCTTACTCAGTCTACCTAGTTCATCAATTTTACCAATATTCTTATAAAGTAGCTTTTAATCCCATTAATTTTCTCTATGATTTTTCTGATTTGTTTCATTGATTTATTCTCTCATCTTCATTATTCCTTGTCTTCTGCTTTCAAATTAATTGCCTTTCCCCACCTAGTTCTTGATGTGTAAATTGTTGTCATTAATTTGAAACCACTCTTATTTACCAATAAGATGTTTAATTCATATATTTTCTACTTACCATTACTTTTGTTTTTAGCTGCATCCCTCTAATTTTAATATGTAAGGTTTTATTTTTATCTGGTTCAAAGTATTCTGAACTATCCCTTTGTCCTTTGGGTTAAAGGCATATTATTTAATTTCCAACTATCGGGGAGATTTTCTGGATATCTTTTTGTTAACTTCTAACTTAATTTCATTATAGTTAGAACACAAACTTTTTATGCTTTGAATCCTCTAAAATATACAAAGGCTTGTAAATCCAGTCTCTATTACCTCATCATGGTTAAAGACAGAAATTCCAGAATGGCTCCTTTATTTGTAAAATTCAAAATTCTTTCATGTATTTGTGTAGTAATACAGTAGGGTGTTCAACTAAACACATTCCTTTCCCATATGCTTCTCACTTGTGAGTAGTGAAAAGTGGGGAGATATTATCTGGAAATTTTCTTAAATCAAGACTTTAAGTAATATCCTATATAATAAAAGCATAGTATGCAAATTGTCCCCTCAACAGGGAGTTTATCTGGGAGTTCGACCAGAGGGCAAAGCCAGCTGGGGGAAGGGAGGGAGTACCTAGCTCACAGCCAACAGCTGCTAGAGACCCTACCAGTGCATGAATTTTGTGCACTGCGCCTCTGGTAACCTTATGATTAATAAAACTTTAGCTATTTATATAAAGATTTCTAGGTGTTATGAGCTTATGCATCTTTGTGTATCAATTGTTAACATATGCTTTGCCGTCAGTTTGTAACTTCTTAGGCCAATGACAGTTTGTGTGAAGGTGGGTAGGGATGAGATGTTTACAGTGAGAATCTATCTTTAAATTTCTGATACTTCACAGTTCTACTACACATTAAAATCTGAACAGTACAAATAAATAAGAATGCATAAAATTAGTTTCAACTGCTAGAAACAACCAAGTCTACCGAAAATACAAACTGATTTCAAAGACTCCATTTCTTTTTCTCACTTCAATATGTATGATTTTTGGCAACCTCTAAGTGCTGATAAAAATACCCTGCTCAGCAGTTTAAGCAAATAGCATCTCTGTGCTTTGATTTAAGTGATCACAGGGTAAGCTATATCTTAACACAGTTTTCAAACTCAGTAGCAGCAAGCATGAGCTACACATAAATGCATTATTAAATAATAAGTGATAAAAGTTACACTGACACCCTTTTAAAAACCTGTGTTTTTTATAACCTAACTGAATGTAGCACCAATCAGAGGTTGGTTAACTACCTATAAATCCCACATATTTGCTTCAAAGATGTCGATATAGAATGTATTGCTGTCACCATGCCAAATTAAAGAATACCTCATTTGTGGAACAGTCTTTTACAAAATTCTGCGGTATTCTTCTATAAGCGTCTTTTCTGAATGGAAGTAGAAGTTCTTTTTATATTTTAAGCTAAAGGAACACCTGGATATGCTGACCCTTCCCCTGCAAGAAATAAATCTTTCTAGAAAGATGCTCAAAACTTGGTTCATGTATTTCTCTCGCATTTAGTTGAACATTCTCACAACCCCCAAACTAGCTCTGATATATAAGCATGGATATCACAATTGTCTATTATGCAAGATTAGAAAAGTAACTTATTTGAGTCAACACTATGAAGAATAAAAGAAGTTAAAACTCTGTAAAGCACTAAAATCTAGGAACATAAAAGAAAAGGTCAAGATACATATGAAAATGTAACTGGAAGTAATAATTTTAAATAATGTTAAGTAAATTATAAATACACTCCAATGGACACATTGGAAGAAAGGACTGTTCAAATTAGCAAATTGCGATAAAGGGCAGCAGTAATCCCAAACTTTCATGTGAACAGTGTGATGACTCAAGCGGTTTATTTAGCTTCTCTGGAGGTATGAGGAGTTATCAGATGACCTTAGCTCCCTTTTGAAAACGGCTTGTTTATCAGCCTGACACTTTATAATCTAAAGATTACAGACTGAAAAACTGGTTATAAGTCAAGCTATATTCCCATTAGCTTGCATTATAAACGTTTCATATGTTTGTAGGAAAAGTAGTTTTCAAAATTATACACTAAAAGAAAAACGTAACTGAATGATTCATCATTACTACTAATAACGGTCACACAAAGTTCAACACTTTAATGAAAACTAGTTCCCTTTAGGGCTACAATGTGTTTATGAGAAGATCACTGAAGACCTACACTCAAGCATATTATCTCCATAATTAATTTTTGCCCAGTAAGTATGAATTTCTGCATGCAAATCAGTCCTATATTTTGAAAAGCTACTATGACCAATACAATAACTAACAGTTGACACCTGGTACTTGCTATGTACTAGAAGCCCTTTACATGTTTTATATTATTTAATTCTCACAGTACTTGATAAAATAACTGCCATTATTATTTACACTTTTCAGATAAGTAAACTGAACAGAGACAGATCAGATAAGATGATCTGTCTTGCGTTAGCTCCACAGGAGAACCAGGCAACCTGGTCCTCGTATCTGTGCTTTTGCATTATACTGCCTACCAAAATAGATTTGCATTGCAAAGACAGCCAGTGCAAAAGTAAGCTTTTAAAGGGATGATCTACAGAAAAAACTTTTGATTTCAACAGAATTTTTCAGGAGATAAGGAAAGTTCTTGAATTGTACATTGCAGCCTATAAAGTTTACTGAAATTGGACAGTCCAAAAGAAAAAGCAATTAGTAAACTTACACAAAAAATTGGAATAATACTGTCACACAGGTGAAGAAAAATTCATATTCACAATACACTGACAAAGAACTGAAAGTAACTGTAGTAGTGAATGAAATTAATGAGTTGACATTCAAATTTGACACTGGTTTAAGATTTGATGAGAGGCAAATGCCCCCAAAATAAACACAAATTAAAAATTAAGAACCTCTGCTTAATTTTACCTTTTGATTTCGAGGTAAATCTTGAGCATTTGACGGAGGCTTGTAATTCAGAACTAATCTTCTAAATTCCAAAAGATTAAATAATGACTGAAAAAGAACAATTTAAGAAACATAAGGAAAAATTCTATTAACAGAACAGTAAAAATAGAATGTGTTTCAGAGGTTTATTTTTGACAACTATGCACTTCATCACAGAATTATTGCAATTGGTGCAAGAAGGCCTATTATTCCTCTGAGAAAAAGTCAAATTACTTATATTTGGACATGCTGTTCTTGATCATTAACAATTATTTATAATACTGAAAAGTTAAAATTATACATGGACAACTCAAACATACATACTATATATTATATTAAAAGCTCTCTTTGTTTCTGTTACACTGTGTCTAATATGTAGTTTCCTCAAAATAAAAGGTATACAAAAGCAAAGTCTAGAACAGTGGTTCTCAACCTTCCTAATGCCACAACCCTTTAATACAGTTCCTCATGTTGTGGTGAGCCCCAATTTCATTGTTACAAATTGAACATGATTAAAGCATAGTGATTAATCACAAAAACAATATGTAATTATATATGTGTTTTCCAATGGTCTTAGGCGACCCCTGTGAAAGGGTCGTTCGACCCCCAAATGGTCGCGACCCACAGGTAGAGAACCGCTGGTCTAGAACTTTTTAGACATATTATGTTTACTATAAGTTATCTAGAGGTATTAATTCTACAAAAATATAGTACAGGTAAATTTATGGGTCAGATGCCTGGTGATGGAGACATAAAAAGAAATTACATATTATCTCTATGCTCAAGGAGACACATAACCTAGAAGGAAGATAAATAATTGTAACAATATAAATGTGACTCTAAGATATAGCAGTATTCTTCACAGAGTATAATGAAAGCTATATAAACTATAGCTTATAATCCACAGTCATCATAATAAACATTTGTTTAAAAAATAAGAAATGAAATACAATGTAAAATCTCAGAGCATATTCATACACAGTAAATTCACCACAGAGTACTGTTTGTAAAGTTTCATTGTAGATTTTGTACATGCATGTATACGTGTAAAGTGTTTTACAAAGTAGAATGTACTCCTTTCTGTGAGTCTCAGTTTATAAAGTTTGAAAGTCACTGTACAGGAGGTGATAATGTATTAAATCTAAGTAAAGACAAGTTACCAACTTGTTAAAAGATAAAGGAGACACCACAAATCAATAAGAAAATAACGGGGTTTTCTTTGATAGTTGGCTGTAGAGAAAAGTGGCCCACTGTAGTAGTTACAGATATATAAATATACATTTGGGTCAAAGACATAAATATGAAAGGTAAAACCATAAATTTACTAATAGAAACTGTTGGAAAACATTTTATCTTGTGATCTAGAAATATTTCTTAACTAAACAATATGCACATATGAGATAATTCACTTATGCATCCATTCAACAAATGTTTATGGAGTATCCACCCACTGCATGCCAGATACAAAGAAAGACAGGCAGCAAAGACTAGCTACACACCCCTGTTGCACCCTCCTCAGCTGACTTCTGTGTATAGGACACCCCTCAATTTTCAGTCTAATGATTTTAGAAAAAAACAGTATCTTATACATGAAAAAATACAGTAACCTTTGGATTTGGCATTTGGGAAGTCACTTTTCAGTAGAACAGTACAATAAAAATAGCAGCAATGAATACTGCTAGAAATGGGATATAAGTAAGGGAGACAAAATATAGACTGTTCTTATGAAGAATTTAAATAGGAAAGAGAATACTGATAAATGAAAAGAATCCCAATCCTGCTTCTGGGCTCTGAGCTCCCACTGGAGAACTATGCCCTTCTCCCTGAAAAGACAGAAGCATCTTCTCTGGTGTGAATCTGCTGCTGATGAGTTATTTCAGCTTCTGTTTAACTGAAATGGTTTTCTTTTCATTTTGGTAAGATTTTTGCTAGTTATAGAATTCTAGATGGACAGTTATTTTCTCTAGCACCCATATTTTTGTTCCTTTATGAAAGGTGATATACCTTTTCCATCTGGCTACTTCTAATCCATTATGTTTCTATTTTATTATGATGTGCCTTAGTGTAGAGTTCTTTGTTTCTATGACTTGATTTCTATTGTGTCCTAAATCTGTTGCTTGGGAATTGTTGTCTCTTCACAAATACTGCTTTTTCCCTATCCCTTTTTCCTCTCCCTCTGGAACCACAAATGGACTGTGCTAGTGCTATTCACCATGTTCCCACCCACCACGTGGAAATTCCTCTCATCTGTGTTTCAAGGCTTTAGTCTCAAAGTATTCTTCAGCCCAACTGTCCAGTTTACTAATTCTCTTCAGTGTGTCTAATATGCTGCTAATATCAGCCATTGATGATGACAAAATAACAAAAGGACATATAACCTGTCTATAGTAGAGATACTGAGGAGAAGCAAGATACACTTTCCTAGGGGGATTTAAAAAAAAAATGGTATCTATACTAATAAAAGGGTAATATGCTAATTAGACCGGATGTCTTCTGGACAACCATTCGGACATCCTTCCTGACAAAGCTGGGCCTGGGCGAATCCACCCACCCTGCGGTCCTGGGTGCCAGCACCTGCGGCCGGTAGACAGAGAAGCCACCCGCCCCACAGTCCCAGATGCCAGTGCCTGTGGCTGAGGCCCGGGAGATGGAGAAGCCACCTGCCCCACAGTCCCAGGCGCCTGCGGCTGCAGCCCATGGAAAGCGGCCCACCCACAGTCCCCTGCAGCTGCAGCCGATCCAGGTGAAGCTGGCCCGGGTCCAAGGTGCCTGTGGCTGGCTGGAGGAGGGAATCCTGGGTCCTGGGTGCAGGGCTGAAGCAGAGGCGGTTAGGGGCAATCCGGCCAGCAGGGGAGCAGTTAGGGGTGATCCGGCAGGCAGGCAGAGGTGGTTAGGGCCAATCCGGCAGGCAGGCAGAGGAGTTAGGGGTGATCAGGCAGGTGAGCAGTTAGGGGACAGCAGTCCTGGATTGTGAGAGGCATGTCCAAATGCCTGTTTAGTGATGGCAGTAGGACATCCCTCATGGAGTTCCCGATTGAAGAGGATGCAGGCCAAGCTGAAGGACGCCCCCCCAAGCACAAATTTTGTGCACCAGACCTCTAGTATCATATAAATTTCAAGGTAAGGTAGGAATTGAAAGCTGATGGCATGATTAAAAGATAACTTCTGTATATAGAGCAATTAAATCCCTATGTCAGTGATGGCGAACCTATGACACGTGTCAGAGGTGACACGCGAACTCATTTTTTTGGTTGATTTTTCTTTGTTAAATGGCATTTAAACATATAAAATAAATATCAAAAATATAAGTCTTTGTTTTACTATGGTTGCAAATATCAAAAAATTTCTATATGTGACAAATATTATAAAATTTCTATATAAATTTTAGGGTTTTTCAAAATGCTGACATGCCAAGCTCAAAAGGTTCGCCATCACTGCCTTATATTCATCCAGACAACAACTATCTCCTTCTTTGGAATATAAGAAATTTAGTCTTTGAATATTATTGACTTAACTGACTCAGGTTCAGAAAAATCAGTCATATTGTGTATAAGGATAGAAAAATGGCATGAGATTCAGAGCTATAAATACATAGGAGTAGTAAGTAAAAACATACAGACTCCCAACTGATTCTCCCCCAGTCCAAGAAGGCTAGCGACCATGCTTACAACACACTGATTCAGAATCCAGTCTGATATTGAGGTGAGAAATCTTCTGTGGTAAAGCACTCAACAAAAATTAAGCCAATATGTTTGGAGAGAAACCAAGATGGCGGCATAGGTAAACACCGGAGATTGCTGCCTCGCACAACCACTTCAAAAATACAACTAAAAGACAGAACGGACATCACCCAGAACCACAGGAAGGCTGGCTGAGGGGAAATTCTACAACTAGAAGGAAAGAGAAAAGCATACCGAGACTCAGAGGAGGCACAGTGCTGAAGTAAAATACAAAGGTGTGTGCGGAGCGGGCTGGCGGCTGAGGGGAAGGTTGTCTGTTTCAATCAGGAGGGAGTCTCAGGCTCTGAGCTCCAGTTCCGGGCGAGTCTCTGGGAACCCAGACTCAAACGGGAGAAGCAGGACTGTCTGGCATCGGTGGGAACTCAAGGGCAGCTTTCTCTCTGAGGTACTTGCAGCAGTTGCTGGGACACTGAGAGGCAGAGCCTCTGGGGACGGGACTGAGAGCAGCCATAACTGCTCGCTCCACCTGCCCTATTGATCCCCTGGGACCCACCCCGCCCAAGCCTTGCATGGAGGCATTTGCTGGTTAGCCTCAGGCAGAGGCTAGATTAGCGCCGCCCTAGAGATCCAGGACAGAAGTTCTCCCACTGCAGACACAGCTGATTCTCACAGCCAACTGGCCTGGAGGTCAAATCCCTCCCAGTGTTACCTACAACAATCAAGGCTTAGCTACAACAAGACTGCACACAAAGACCACAAGGGAGTGCACCAAGAGTGTCTACCTCAACTAATTGGGACACTTAGCACAGAAAGCCACTCTATCGACACAGCGAAGCATAGAAAATGCCGAGACAAAGAAACAGGACACAAATGACAGAAATGGAGGAAAGCAGACTGCTGGATATAGAATTCAAAACCACACTTTTGAGGTCTTTCAAGAGTCTTCTAGAGACTGCCGATAAACTTAATGAGATGTACAAGAAATCTAATGAGACCCTCGATGTTGTGATAAAGAACCAACTAGAAATTAAGCATACACTGACTGAAATAAAGAATATTATACAGACTCCCAAAAGCAGACCAGAGGAGCGCAAGAATCAAGTCAAAGATTTGAAATGCAAAGAAGCAAAAAACACCCAACCAGAAAAGCAAAATGAAAAAAGAATACGAAAATAGTGTAAGAAGCCTCTGGGACAGCTTCAAGCGTACCAACATCAGAATTATAGGGGTGCCAGAAGATGAGAGAGAGCAAGATATTGAAAACCTATTTGAAGAAATAATGACAGAAAACTTCCCCTACCTGGTGAAAGAAATAGACTTACAAGTCCAGGAAGTGCAGAGAACCCCAAACAAAAGGAATCCCAAGAGGGCCATACCAAGACACATCATAATTAAAATTCCAAGAGCAAAAGACAAAGAGAGAATCTTAAAAGCAGCAAGAGAAAGAAACTCAGTTACCTACAAGGGAATACCCATACAACTGTCAGCTGATTTCTCAACAGAAACTTTGCAGGCCAGAAGGGAGTGGCAAGAAATATTCAAAGTGATGAATGCCAAGAACCTACAACCAAGATTACTTTATCCAGCAAAGCTATCATTCAGAATTGAAGGTCAGATAAAGAGCTTCACAGATAAGGAAAAGCTAAAGGAGTTCATCACCACCGAACCAGTATTATATGAAATGCTGAAAGGTATCCTTTAAGAAGAGGAGGAAGAAGAAAAAGGTAAAGATACAAATTAAGAACAACAAATATGCATCCATCAACAAGTGAATCTAAGAATCAAGTGAATAAATAATCTGATGAACAGAATGAACTGGTGATTATAATAGAATCAGGGACGAAGAAAGGGAATGGACTGACTATTCTTGGGGGGGAAAGGGGTGTGGGGGATGGGGGAAGAGACTGGACAAAAATCGTGCACCTATGGATGAGGACAGTGGGTGGGGAGTGAGGGTGGAGGGTGGGGTAGGAACTGGGAGGAGGGGAGTTATGGGGGGGAAAAGAGGAACAAATGTAATAATCTGAATAATAAAGATTTAATTTAAAAACATTGAGCTAATATGTTTGAGCATATAGAACATATTACTGATAAGATGATAACAGAGATGTTGGAGCATCTGGAAACTATTGAGAATAGGTATATAGAAAATAGGCAGAAAAACAAGTGGCAGGCCCAGGAAAACAAGGGTTACAGAGAGGCAAGTCCTAGTGAATCGCTGCAGCATTCACAAAGCCATGGGAATGCAGACTCTTACTACAATCTTTTTTTTTTTTTTTTTTTTTTTTTGGTTGAGCTACCACTATGCTGGTGGATGGAAGAAATGGTGATTCTAGACAAGTGAAATGAAAGTGCTAAATCCTCACTTCCCTCAGCAGGAAGGCATGGCATGTCATTTATAAAAATGAAGATAATAGGAGAAAAAGCTAGAACTGGTTGTAGTTGCCACAGGACTATCATCAGGGAGGTTTAGGGCAGATTACTGCTATGAAATTCTTGGTTTTCTCATTGAACTACGTATTTGGATTCTTTGAGGAAAATTAAAGAGACATGAACAAGTGATGTGAATAAATATGTTAAATTATATACTGAATTTTTTTGAAAACCTGCAGCATCTTTTCAATCCCATACATCATTAGGGTGATAGAAGCTTCCTAAGTCTTCAATTCCTCCATAATTTATATTTGCTCCTTTTTGGTTCCTTTATTCACTCATTCAATGATTACATAAGGAGCTACTTCAAGGTGTCAGACTATACAGAATAATCTAGAAGATGTGCTCTCTGCCTTCAGGATGTTTGCATTTTAGTCAACCAGGAACTACATGATATATGAGTATGGTGAAATGAAAAGCTACTTAGAACAGGATAGACTTTAAAATAACAGTAAAAAACAAAAGTTGAAATAATCTTTAGACAAAGTTCTTTTTTCATCCATAATTTCCCAAAGCTAAAGCTTAATGTTTTACTATACTGCCCAAAATTAGTATCTTAATACTTCATTATAACTCAACTTTTTCAAGGTTAGCTGTTACTTCTGGGTGTCTCAATTTCTCCAAAATAATAATAATAAATAATAATCCCAAGTGTCCTATACTTGCCTATGTTAGGAGTGTGGTAAAGCCATGTTACCAGTTAGGCAGCAGAAAAAATTTAAAATTAGTAAAATTACTTCAACTTTGTTAAAAAGGACAAATAATTTTTTTAGTCCTTTCCTCATCCCAACTAAAGAAACTCCAAAAATTTGAGATGTAAAGCAAAAGCTAAGGTCAGCAAACACCACTTAAAGTAGAAATAGATGAACAATTCTTCCACATTTGAACTAAGATACTGAGAGAAGTTTATCCTATGAAAACAAAGAGTGGTTATCCTCAAATCTATTAATATTAAATTAATTACATTTCAGTGGGGTTTTCTTACAGTATGGTGTGGAGAAATAAAGAGCGCCTATTCTAAATAATAAATATTTATTTGAAAGTTTTTTCTTTCTTCCAGTTTTTTAAAAGCTTCTAATCAATGCACCTCATTTATTGGCCATAATAGTGCAGAAATAGCATTTACTTGTCTAAATTATGGCAGCAAAGCATATTCATGAACCCTCAGAGCACAGCCTTAAAACTATGCTCCATATTTTAAAATGTCCAAATTATTTAAATTAGACAGTGAAAGGTAAAAGCCTTACTAACAGCGCTAGAAAGGAAAGCAAGATAGTCTGTTCTAAGAGACTATAAAATAGCAAATAAAATTGTAGATATTGTTGGCATGTGAGTATATAATGCAGAAGGCTAGGAACAAGGGTATTACTGTTACTCCAGGTATTCCTTAACATTTTAATAGCCTGGAAAACAAAGTAGCATATTAGTTAGTAACGAACATACACCATGGTATATTATAAAGAATGAGACATAAATACAGAAAACTAAAGGAAATCAAATTGCACCGCATTATGTGCCAGAAGCAAAAGATGGGGGTTTGTGGGAGTAAAAAATTACACCACTGAAGTAGAAAAAAAGTTAAAAGTACATATTAATTGTCTAGAAAACACAATTAAAATCCTAGAGAAAATGTTAAAACTAGTTACTTGCTTTAACATGAAACATCAGGAACATGAAATAAATAAGCTACAATTCAACTGCATTAGGAAAATAAACACAAAATATTAATGAATTTTTGTAAAGGGTAATAAAAATTAAGAAAATGTTATTATTCATAGATTATTTCATTTATGGAGATTCTTCAAGGTTTTGAAATCTGAGAGATAATAGTCTTATGATATAAAAATTAAAGCAAACTATTCAAGATTAAGAAGAGGATGGATATCTACGCATACAAACATTTTTCATTTTAGAATAAGGGGCTCAGGAAACATTTCACTAAGGACTTTCCAAGTTAGAAAAAAAAAATGTTTTAAAATCTATACCCTCCTCAAATAAATAAAATGCCCTATTTCATTAAAATAGTGTCTAAAAGACTATGATTCTATGAAAAACATTTTCTAGTATATACAAGTAAATCTGATCTAATGGACATACACAAATAAAAACTAGTTCTGGTTTCATATCTTGGTTACATCTTTCCTAAAATTGCAGGGAAATACATTCAGAAATATTTTCTTTCCACTCTGACAATAATTCCTAACAGCAGGGAGGGAGAAGAAATTAGTTTCAAATAATAAATTAATTCAAAATAATCCCAAAGAAGGTATAGGTAATGCTCTCCCATTAAAACTCCATCCTGGGACTGAGGAACAGAGGAGGTTGAGGAATGTTGCAATCTCCACACTAGTTCATCGGACAGAAAATCACATTAAAACCTTGCCTGCAGTTCTGTTTCAAGTACACAACTTAAAAGAAACCCAAGTCCAACCCACTCTCCACTGCTATCATGCCCAGCAAATAAGATCTGCATAATATCCTTACCTGAATAACAGCACTAAACCAGCAAGTGTTGCCAACATTCTTTAATCCAACAGGAGCTCTGTCCTGCCTTTTTCTATCATAAGGGTTTCGAGAATCCCTCCACACTTCTGTAGGTGTCCTCTTTAAACATGCTTTGTTTTCTGCTATGCTGGCTTCAAGAACTCTTAAGCAATGGGAGAAAATAGTAAAACACACACACACACACACAAAAAAAAGAACAGTTATAATTCAGTGCTGTACTCTAGGAAATAGCATTAATTAAAGATTTTAATTACTTAATCTCTAGATAATGTATTTGGGGAAGTACTACTTAGGGCTATCTTTAAATCAAGCAGAGGTTAGTGTTCTTTAAAAACATAGCAGTGGTAAAGAATCAAGACATGCAGCCTTTTTTCTAAGAAACAGGAAATTTCAAATAAAATGTTTTTAATACAAAATATGTTAAATTATGTTTCAACAAATTAAAGGCTTAGTGGCAGGACTATAGAAAGGACTGAGATAAGTTTTGAGAAATCATTGCTTTAAAGTACATACTTGCAATGTAACAAAATGACTAGTTTTTATAACAATTACTTTGAATCATCAGGAAAACAGTAAAAACTACAAATGCACTTTTCACCTCTGACCGTTAATTTGCTTTTCTATAAAAAAAATGTTAAGGTAAGTGCTAGGGTTCCTTTCAGTTCTAGAGATCTGACTCTATGACAGCCAAATAAAGGAAAAGAATATTTATGTATTCACTTCTTCACCCAGAAGTTTGCCTATGGAAAATTCCAGTGAAATAAATATCTACGTATCAGAATAATAAAATATGAACCTCTTCAAAATAAGCTCACCTACAGAATATCTTAAACATACCTAAACATGGCAAAAGCAATGCTACTTTGCTCTTGCAACAACATGTTGGGAAACCCTAGTTCCCACATATGAACTAACAAGCATAATGCCTGCTCAAGACATGCATTACTATTCCAAATAAGCATAAATAATATTCAGTTCTCTTATCCTATTTTGCTCATTACAAAAACCTCAGCAAGAATGAGCTTTTCTAACTTTTTGAGTTCACCATCTTTATCCTAAAGATTTTACTCTATCAGATTAATTTCAAAATAATATAGCTATATTCCTTAATTGTGGGGGAAAAAGAAATGATTACTCCAACAGCATTATTAACAACATGATATTAGATACAATGTAGTACGATTCCAAGTTATTACTTAAAATAACTTATGTGAATATAAAATAAAATTTTTATTTGGGAATAGGTTTTAAAAAGCAGGTAACAACATATTTTAAAATATGAAGAGCAACATAAACTCACATCTTTAAAAATAAACAGTTCACACCTCTGTCACTATTACAAGTGATCAAACATTTGCAGCACACTTTGCCTAATAATTACCTTTTGATTGCAACCGAGGCTACTAGAGGCTTTTTCTCAAACTACCAATAAAAGGTACCATAACTCCTTAGAAGGTATTTCAGCATACCTTTCAAGGAGAGATAAAAAGTCAAAGAGCCAATTGAGACTTCCTACTGTTCAAGTTGGACAGGTCGGCACAATATAGCACAATAACAACAATCAACTGGAACAAACTGCATTTGTACAAGGTAACTAATTTATACTCAACAGAGAAAAGTTAATGCATAGCATACAAAACATAAATATGACACAAAAGACTGCTGGACATAAGAAGATATATTGAATTTTTACTGACTTATAAACGGGAGTGATTTCTTTTGAAAATATTTTCTCTTTGTAATCCATATGTATATTTAGAAGTATAAATAAAGAAAACTTATTTCTATCTTGGTAATTAGAGATGAATGAACTAATAAAAGATGCAATGAGTTCTGGGAAAACTCACAGCAATACCTCACACAGGAAAGAAGAAATTAGCACCAGTGGTCACACATAAGCTATGGAGAGACACCTAGCAACTGTACGTGTCCTTGTTGATATGTACAATAACCACTTAAAGAGAGGATCCTAGAGTTTATTTTTAAAGCATAAGCTAGTAAAAAGTCTAGGAGCATTACACTCAATCCTAAATCTAATGGGTGAGCCTCTACCATTATACATTTTTAACGACTAATTACAATAAAATACTAGTAAGAAACGATCCCTTCTTGATAATGCCAACAGGCCAGATCACATTTACCATAATGACTAGGCAATGAGTTACACAGACATTACTTATGGGAAACTTGAGAATACCTAATATCTAAAAAATACACCTAATCTACAAAAAATTAAAATCCATATATGTCACAAAATTAAAAAATGAGATTCAGCCTCAAGACCAGACTGAATAAAATTAGGTTTCATGTTCCCCATAAGTGTCAACAACCCAACCCAAGTTTACATCTAGACTGCACTGAGATAATGCTATTCTTCTTATTCCACATCTGGTTAAGATTATTAAAACCCAGGGAGGTTTTTGTTTTTTACTGTTTCCATATAGCAATTCCCTCACCCTCCTCTGCTGCCCATCTTCCACCAAAAAAATACACCTCTTCATTTGTATGTGTTCATACAAATAGTGTAATGTAAATACTACCTCAATGTAATTAGATAATGAAAGCTTTTTAGTTCCTTTGCCTACTCTCTCCCCTGACAGGACTTGGGGGAATGTACTGCCTCAAATGTACTTTCTAGGCAAAAGCAGCTTTGCCTGTGCTATTTGTATTATTACTCCACAGAGAAAGTTGGAAGGGAAAGATACCATCCCCCTTTCATTATAGAATAAAATTAGATACAAACTGTTATAACTGATTTGGGCTCAAGAGATACATGCCCATTGCTTCTCAAAGTTGCCTAAGATATAAAAACAAAGCAAAAGCCCAACCTGTAACCCAAAGACTACTCTATTCCCAAACTTGTATTCCTTTCTCTAATCCAGTACTGGCATATCAAACATAAACTTTCTATAAAACCAAATTCCTAGACTCACAAAGTAAAGCCAGTGGTACTACACAGGCTTTAAAGTTTAAAGTATGCAACAGCTGCATTCCAAGTATTATGGTTGCCAGTAGAGACAGAAGGGAGGGAGAGGGTAGACAAAACACAACAACAAAACAAATTTGCAAATTTCAAATAGCTCAGAAATAGCTAGACCAAAATGTAACATGACAAAAGGCAACCCCTAGAGCCAGAAATCAAAACCCAACCCCCACTACACTTCACAGGCTTTCTTATCTTCCCACCACTGGTCATGACCATGGCAACCAGTAATACAAACAGATAAAAAGATGCTGTGTCTTCTCTTCCACACATCACAATGAATGTTTAAAGCATCGACTTATGGTAAATGTTCATCTTCCCATTAAAAATTCGTGGTACTGATTGTGGGTCATTATTTTTGCTTGTTTTCTTTTTTTTCGTACTGTTATTTAAATTGCATTATAGCAGTAATGTTGAAAACAACCCATTTAGATCATCTAAGTCCACTTTGAGGAAACAGGCATTTCATTTAAGCTGTACACTAAAAAAAAAAAAAAAAAAAAAGAAGGAGGGAGGGGGGAAGGGAGGGAGATAAGAGGGAGGGAGAAATCATCATGTTCATTTCCTTAAAAAAAAAAATCATTGGTATTTTTATTGGGATCACACTAAATCTAAGTCAACTTAAGGAGATATTACTCATTAATCTGTCTCAATGACATCTCCATGTATATAAAAGCCAAGTGACCGGAAGGACGGAATGACAGAACAACCAGAATGACCAGTCACTACGACGTGCACTGCAGTGGCCAACTGGCCCCCACAACCTCCCAAGGCCCCTCTCCCCGGCCAGCCCTGCTGGCCAATCACCTATGGCCCCTCTCCCACACCAGCTCAGCCCCAACTGGCCCCCATTGGGGCAGGCAGGCCGGACCCCACCCGTGCACGAGTTTGTGCACTGGGCCTCTAATATAATATTCTTCTTGGTAATTCTTGCACATTTTTATTAAACTTATTCCTAGTCTTTAATAGTTTTGTGTTATAGATGAAAGCTTTTTAAAATTTCACCTTCTCATTCATTCTTATATGTAGAAATCTAATTTCTGTATATTGATACGCAATTAACATAGCTAAATACTTTTTTTCTTGGTAAGAATAGTTTATTGAGATAATAAAGACATAAAAATCTTAAATATGTATATCAGTGACATTTTTTTACATATGTGCATAACCATGTGACTAACACTCAGATCAGGATATAGAAATTTCCATTATTCCAGAATATTCTCTCATGCCCTTTTTAGCCAGCAGTGTCTCCTCCATCTCCCAGAGTCACCATTCTGACTTCTAAGTTAGATGGCAATTATTCTTCTATGTCAAGTTTCTTTCACTCAACATGTTGCTTTGGCGATTCCTGCACATTCTTTCAAGTACCAGAAAAATGTTTTCCATTATGTTGTTCAGAATTCCACTGAGTGAACATCCACCACTGTTTCCTATTCTGCTCTTATGAATACTTGTGGGGTTTTTTTACAGTTTTTATTACCAATAAAGCTACTATGCATTCCTTTCTCAAGGGACTATACCTAAGAGTGCAAATGCTAAGTCATAGCATCGTATATACTGAAATTCATTAGAAATTCCCAGTTTTCCAAAGTGGTTATATCATGACACATTTTTACCAACAGTGTATGACAGTTTGTCCAGCACGTCAAACTCACGGCAGGATTGACATGTTTGCTGTCCATGTTCACCAACACTTGGTATTATCAATCTTTTTAATTTCAGCCATTGTGATGCAGCCTGCACCACCCAGACAGTCACCACTGCTGCAATCTATCATCATACCCAACATGGCAACATGTCCACAATCGTAATTAGTACAAATTAAGGGACTCTGTTTCTGACACCGAGCCTACCACTATGTCAGACATAAAACTCCTGCCAGAAGTTGATCTGTTTCTCTCACGGTGAGTTGTCACTCCCACTTTTGGCAGACTGACCAAATTGGACATTTGATCACTTCCCCCTCCACTCCCTCTGACTTGTCTTAAGACTATCAGTGGTACCTCGAGTTGTTGACACTTTTTCTAGTTAGATTATTGCTGTTCATGTCTGTTCAGCCAACTCTGGCCACACCTTGTGGCCCTTGAAACTAATGTTTCATATTTTCAACTTTTATAAACCATTTATAATCTATACTGGTGTACCTTTTATCATAA